AAAAAAAAAAAAAACATTTTTATCAGGGGAATCATTTAAAACATAAATTAGAAGATACATACTGTCTTCTTACAAGGGACTGCTTCTTGGGAAAACAAACTAATCAAACATGCTAAAAATGATGTGCTCAGGACAAAATAAATAAATTATTCTTCACTGATATAGACTAGCAGCTCCAAAAAACACAGCTCTGACCAGCCTCCATTTGCATTAGCAGTTCTTACAGGGTGCTTTGGAAAGCCCACTGGGGAAACTGCACTTAGGAGGAGCTTACAGCAGAAGAGTCAGCAACACGTGACCACTCAGGTAGGGTTTGTAAAGTAAAACATTTGCCCCCTAAGTTCTAACAACCATCCTCATAACCGAGAAGCAAGTGGCCTGTCAACCAGAGAAGCACTGTCCAAAAGTGCAGCTAGTACCATGTGGCTGTTTAGATTTTTCCCCCCCAAAATTTTATACTTTCTATTACAGAAATGTTCAAGCACCTATAAAGTGGACAGATGGTATCACTAATGCCCACAGGCCCCTCATCAGCTTCAACAATAATCAACTCATAGCTCACAGCTCCTCTATCTCCTCCCCACTTTCTTCTGCTCCTATACTAGTGTTTTGGTTTGTTTTTTAAAAGCTTTATTAAGGCATATTTTACATTATTACAAAATTCACTCATTTCAAATGTACACACTCAGTAACTTTACCCGGGCTGGATTCGAACCTGCCAGCTCAAGTATATGTGGCTGGTACTCTAGCCGCTTGAGCCACAGGCACCGAGCCCACACAACCAAGTTTTAAGGTCCTTTGTGGTGTAATGTGGAGACTCATCCTTAGAGATATACCTAGGAATGAAATACTCTTCTGAGCTCTCATTATGATCATCACACACGGTCTCTTTCTTTCCTGACCACATTAAGAAGCTCCCAGACATCCACGTACCTTATTGTTCTCATGATCACCACTCACAGCTATGGGATACATGACATATTTTCCACCCTGATCCTCATTTGGGGCACATTCCGCTAGACCATCTGGATCATGTTCTGCTCCAAAATTGTGTCCCAATTCATGGGTTGTAACCAGGTCAGCTTCCTTAAGGATCATGCAAAGAAAACATTATTTCTCATCAGCTACTTTTTTTTCACATCAGCCTACATCATACTTTGACTCTGAGCTACTTTGCCAGCTGGTCCCTAACTTTCTTAAACAGAGATCTCTATTCGGATTGATAAAAGAGTAACAACTGGACTATAATTTCTTCCAACCATTACAGAAATTAAACAGAGTAAGCGGGATCTTCCTTAACATTATCAAATAGTATCATAATGATTAACTTAATTCTAAACTGAAAATAGAACTTATATACAGGAAGATACATAACAAAATACCAAACATTGGAGGTTCTAACCATACACTACCTAGTGCTGATAAATCCAATAGCTAACTATAATTGGTCTTCCTACCTGCCCCTTATCCCAATCATACTCATGTTAAAATCTAAATCAGGGGTCAGGCAAGGTGGCTCATGCCTGTAATCCTAGTACTCTGAGAGGCCAAGGTGAGCAAATGGCCTGAGCTCTGGAGTTTGAGACCACCCTGAGCTAGAGGGAGACCCCATCTCTAAAACATACCCAGGCACTGTGGCAGGCACCTGCAGTCTCAGAAAGACTGAAGCAAGAGAATCACTTTGAGCCCAAGAGTTTGAGGTTGCTGTGAGCTATGAAGCCACAGCACTCTACCCAGGGCAACAGTGAGACTCTCTCAAACCTTCCCCCCCCCCAAAAAAAAACAAAGGGTAGAAAAACAAGACAACTAAAGAACAACAGAAGAATGTTTTATTATCTCACTGCCTGAATTCACATTCGATAACTATCTTTTTTTCTTTTTAAGATCGAGTCTCACTCATTTGCTCAACCTCCAATAACAATTTTAATGACAGGCCAGGCGTGGTGGCTCACACCTTTAATCCAGCACTCTGGGAGGCCAAAGCAGATAGACTGCTTGAGCTCACAAGTTCAAAACCAGCCTGAGCAAAAATGAGACCTTGTCTCTACTAAAAATAGAAAAACTGAGACAAAAAGATTGCTTGAGCCTGAGTTGGAGGTTGGAGGTTGCTGTGAGCTACAAAACCACAGCATTCTACCCAAGGGGACAGCTTGAGACTATGTCTCAAAAAATAATAAATAAATAAAAATAATCGGGGCAGCGCCTGTGGCTCAATGGGTAGGGCCCCATGTACTGAGGTTGGCATGTTCGAACCTGGCCCTGGACAAAACTGTGACAAAAAAGTAGCTAGGCATTGAGGTGGGCGCCTGTAATCCCAGCTATTTGGGAGCCTGAGGCAGGAGAATCGCCTAAGCCCAGGAGCTGGAGGTTGCTGTGAGCTGTGACACCACAGCACTCTACCAAGGGCAACCAAGTGAGACCCTGTCTCTAAAAAAACAATAAAATAAAATAAAAACAATCTAATGACAGAGACTTTGGTTACTTACAATCCAGTACCAGAACTATACTTGACTTATCATATCATCAGATTATTTCTATATGAGTAAGTTCAGCCAAAAAACCCTAGAACTTCTTCATATTTAGTTGAATAAAATAAAAATTACAAACTGGAAATTCTTGATCTTTTTTCCTAAGGAGGGAAAAAAAATCACTCTATGAAACTTAAGAAAAATATTTCACAATATTTTTGTATTTTTCTATACAAAAGTCCATGTTCATATTAAAACAACAGTGGGAAAATCCTTAGATTTTTGGCAAAAAGCATTCAAATTTCAACAGTATAATGATGAGCAGATTTGCTAATCACATGAAAAATGATCTCAAAGATTTCAAAGCAAATTTATTTTTTGTTCCATGTGCTTTTTAAGAGAAAAATTCTGGAAGATCAAGAAAAATGTCATGCAATCAAACCATTAAAGTTGTGACACCAAAAAAGTAAAGCAGCAGCATAAGAAAAAAATTCCTCCTGTCTTAGCCTCTAGAATAGCAGGTGATCCCACAACTGGCTGCTCCTGTGTCTTGATCACCCGAAGTCCATGTTTAGGGTTCATTCTTTGTGATGGAGTCTATGAGTTTTGATATATGCATAAGGTCTTATATCTACTGTCTGCTACTGCACAGAGTACAGCAGAACCTCCATAGCCGACCTCCGCAGCTGACCCCTCCCTACACTCACCACCTCCTTAAGTTGACCTAATTTTCACAGAACAAACATGTACCACATGTACCTACCAGTGCAGAAGGCCTAGTTCCTTACACTGACCACCTCCTTATGTTGACCAGTTTGTTGCAGTCCCTTGGGTGTTCAACTTACAGAGGTTCTACTGAATGTTCACTGTCCTAAAACTCCCCTGCTCTCCACCTATTCATCACTTCTTCCTCCAAGCCCCTGATAACCACTGATCATTTTTAGAGCCCCAGAGTTTTACACCTTTCCTAGAATGTTATATATATTTTTTTCTTTTCTTTTCTTTTCTTTTTTTCTTTTTTTTTGAGATGAAGTCTATGTTGCCTTCGGTAGAGTGCCATGGCGTCACAGCTCACAGCAACCTCCAACTCTTGGGCTTAAGTGATTCTCTTGCCTCAGCCTCCCCAGTAGCTGGGACTACAGTTACCCCCCGCAATGCCTGGCTATTTCTGTTTCAGGTTGCCACTGCTGTTTTAGCTGGCCAGGGCCAGGTTCCAAGCCATCACCCTCAGTATATGAGGCCAGCGCCCTACCCACTGAGACACAGGTGCTGCCTAGAATATTATATATTTTCAATCACATAGTATGTAGCCATTCAGACTTGCTTATTTCACTTACTTAGTGGTATGCCTTTAAGGTTCCTGGCATGACAGTTTTTTTTGATTATCTTTGTTTTTATTTTTCCAATGTTTGGATATGCCACAGTTTATTCATTCCCCAACTGAAGGAAACCTTGGTTGTTCCAGCAATTATGAATTAGCTGCTAGAAACATTCTTATGCAGGTTTCTGTGTGGACTTAAATTTTCAATGTGTTTGGATAAATATCAAGGAACATGACTGCTGGAATTCAGGATAAGGATGTGTTTAGTTTTGTAAGAAACCGACGAAATATTTTCCACAGTGGCTGTAACATTTTGTGCTCCAAGGAGCAGTGAAGGCGAGCCCCTATCGCTCCACATCCTTATCAGAACTGTGTTGTCAAGGTTTTGGATTTATCCATTCTAATAGGCCAGCAATAGTATCTTGTTGTTTAAACTTTTAGTTTCCTAACAGCATATGCTATCAAACAATTTTTTTTTTGAGACAAGAGTCTCACTATGTTACCATTGGTAGAGTGCCGTGGCGTCACAGCTCACAGCAACCTCAAACTCTTGGGCTCAAGAGTTCTCTTGCCTCAGCCTCCCAAGTAGCTGGGACTACAGGCGCCCGCCACAACACCCAGCTATTTTCTGTTGTAGTTGTCATTGTTGTTTAGCTGGCCCAGGCTGTGTTCAAACCCTCCACCCTCACTGTATGTGGCTGGTGCCATAACCACTGTACTATAGGCATCAAGCTAATATCAGACAAATTTTCATTTGATTGTTTGCTGTCCGTAAATCTTCAGTGGCAACTGTTCTGACTGTGTATTTTTAAATTGAGTTGTTCATTTTCTTCTTGTTGGGTTTTAAGAGTTCTTTGTAAAAGAAAAAAAAACTGTTTTTTGGTGGGGGAGACAGGAACAGGGTCTACTTCTGTTGCCTGGGCTACAGGGTAGTGGAATCATCACAGCTTATAGTGCAACCTCAAACTCCTGCACTCAAGTGATCTTCCTCAACCTCTGGGGCACATGAGACTATAGGCACATGCCACCACATCTAGCTAATCTTTTTCTAAAGACAAGGTCTCGCTGTATTGCTCCAGCTGGTTTCAAACTACTGGTGGCTACAAGTGATCTTCCCACCTCAGCCTCCCAAATTGCTAGGATTATAGCCATGAGGTGCTGTGCCCAGCCTCTTGGTATAACAGTCTTTTATAAGGTGAGTTTTTTGAAAATATTTTCTCCCAACCTATGACCTGTCTTGCTTTACATTTTTACAGTCCAGGAAATGCAAATATTCTTACTCTTCAATATTAATTTTTCTTTCTCTCTCTCTTTCTAGTGCTTATTCCTTCTACAGGGTTTTAACATTTAATCTTAACTGTTCTTTGGTAATCAAATTCTATAATTTTTTAATATGGGTCTTCACTTTCCTTTTTATGAGGGGAGGAAAGGTTATCTGACTAACTCTTCAGTAGTGAGGTATGAGAAGACAAAGTGACTTCTATCATAACACCATAAAACACTTAAAACTGGGCACTTCCATGATTAACATTCCAATATCCCACATGATTTATTTTCCTGTCACTCATCAGTAAGCTACTCTGCTCCCAAAACTTAAATGATGGCTTTTAACTTCTTTGTTAAATCAATAACGGGAAGCTACCAGTAAAACAGTATAAACTGCATTTACCTCTACTTTTTCATGGAATCCCACTAAGACAACAGTAAAGGAAAAAAAAAAGAAATAACCCAACACAGACGAAGAACAGGAGAGGAGACCACGGTAGACAACAGACGGAAACACGATTTTGGATGTTGAACAAAAAGGTTAGAAGTTAGAGAAAACACTACAACCATGAAAGAATCAGAAGCTTAAAAAAAAGAAATAACAAAAGGACTACAGAAAAAAGAAAATGCCTGCGGGAATAAAAACACCCAGAAGAGCAGCTGAAGCTAATGTTAAGAACATCATTTAGAAAACAGTACCAGAAAATAAACACATGAAAAACAAGAAATATTAAGAAAAAACAGACAATCATTCTACATCTTGTTATCTGATTTAATGGCGTTCCAAATAATACACAAAACAAGCCAAAAATTATCAAAGAAATAGTACAAGAAAATTTTGCATCATTTAAAGACATAAATCTTCAGACTAAAGGGCCCATTTGCCCAACACAATGGAGAGGGGGGAAAAAAAGACATTTTCAGGTAAATAATATCCTAAGAATATGCATCTCATGTACTTTTTCTCGGGAAGTTCCTAGAGAATGTACTGCATCAATATAATGGTTTAAATCAAGAAAGATGACACAGGGGCCCACCAGTGAGAGTGCAGGATGCCTCAGAGAGGTAGTGGTGCTATAGGACTAGGAGACAAGGAGCTCTGAGAGGAGCTGCAGGCTTACATGTTTCAGAAGAAAGTTGACTGATCATTTTAATTTTCTTCTTTTTATGTTTCTTTAATTCTCATATTTTATACAAAAGAACATGAATTTTATTTGAGCAGATGTAAAAAGCAGTACATATTACCTTCTAAAAAAGATACCTGCATAAATATATCATGATTGGGTTCTACTACAATGAACTCCAAAACTATCCTTTTAAAAAAATAAAAGAACATACCTTGGTAAGGATGGTTTTACCATAATTCTTTGTGCTGGTCAAACCACTATTCAAATAGATATTTTTCTTCCCAACTGGACTATAATAAGCTAAAAGCAAAAAGAAACATGGAAAAATTGCTTATAAAATATACAGTTATAACATAATCCAATCTGCTTACTATTCTAGCACCATGTTCACTCAACAAATGAGAAAACTTACCCTTTGGGCAAACACCTCCATGACTGTTTGCTCTGGGAGAACCAACATAAGCTAATCCAAGAGTTCCCATATCAAAATCTTGGTATGTGAAAAGATGTGCCAGGCAGACTTTAGATGCTTCCTCAGCTATATCAAAGCTAAATTGCTTTAAAAAAAATAATAAAAAAAGTATTCTTAATTAGATTAACAATTACATCAAACTGAAAGAATTTCTACTAAATATTGCAGAAGGGAAGCACAGCTGAGTGAACTCTGCACCAGCAACCCTAACCTCATGCAGCGCACTGCCCATTCGCTGGTTTCTCACCCATCAGCATGGGGGACGCACCCATTATCATCCAGCTACCTTGGGAGCTTTCTTCAGCTGTTCAGAACTAACCTCACTGATCCACTGAAAACAGCCCAGCACTGGAGATGCCCAAATTCTGCAAGGGGATCACAGCACCCCATAGCAAAGCAATTTCCTCTAAGGTATTCTAAGGATTCTAGGCCAGGCATGGTGGCTCATGCCTGGAATCCTAGCACTCTGGGAGGCCAAGGCAGGTGGATAGCTTGAGCTCACGAGTTCAAGACCAGCCTAAGCAAAAGCAAGACCCCCATCTCTACTAAAAATAGAAAAACTGAGGCAAGATTATTGCTTGAGGCTCGGCGCCTGTGGCGCCTGTGGCTCAAGCTAAGGCACCAGCCACATACACCTAAGGTGGCAGGTTCGAATCCCCAGCCCGGGCCCGCCAAACAACAATGATGGCT